ACACAGCAACATCTTACTGGCAGATAAACGCCTTTTACATCAGATGATAAATGTCAAGAATCTGAATTAATATTGGACATTCATTAGGTCACAATTACCTTAATTGCACTTGTCCAGTGCTGGATGACTAATGGCTTCATAAAATACCACCTAACTTTTTTCTACATTTTTTTTTTGTTTAATTCCTGTGTATTCAAAGAGTCAATTTGGATAAAATATTTTGAAATGCCTGAGATATAGAGGTGAACCTAGAAGTGCATTTATTCTGAATATGTGCACAAGGCAGGCAACAGTCATCTGACCTGGAGTCAGAGAGAAATTATCGTCACGAAAACAAAATATGATTCATATTTTCATTCCTTTTAACCCACCCTGCTGTTCCCACATACAGTACACGAGGTCATAGCTGTCGGCTCTTTAAAATACATCTGTTTGTGATTAGTCTGAGTCGTGGTGCTGCCGTCTTGGATGTTGGATGTATCTGAATGATGCTGTAGCTTCATGTACGTATGTTATTTGACTTCAGTCATTGTTGACTTATGTAGATCTCTCATCACGTTTCATCTGCCTACTGTCTGCAAACACCCGAACCCACAGTGATGGGAATCTTACTTTCAAATGTTAGTATAACCGACTGTCTCCTTGGCACTGCCCTCTTAGTTACTGTTGCTATGACTAACTCACTTTTAATCAACAGTATGGTGACATCTATATGTTTTGTCCTCCCACTGAATTTATTTTAGGCTTTAGAAAATTACATAAACAACAGCATCTTCACACTCATGATGCTGCACTTATAATGCAGTGTATTATATATCTATATATACCTACACATACTGTATATATATATATATATATATATATACACAAATATACACACATATACATATGTATTCCCATGTGTCTTGAAAGGGACTTCAAAATAAAATGTATTATTATTATTATCATTATTATTATTATTATTATTATAGTAATAATATGTTTATCCCCCAAGACATATCTTTTTTGCCATCTTCAAAGTGTCTATGTAACATACAGTAGGTAAACAAATATATATACACTGTTGCCCATAAAGTTGGAATAATTTTGTCTTCAGACACAATCCTCTGTTTATTCCTATTTAAATGCATCAGTAATCACTTTTGACCAGGTGCAATAATTACATTATGTGTCCCAATTACCCAGGTGAAATGAAATAAATCACATTGTCACAATCATTTCATGGAAAGAGGTCAAAAATATTTTATTCCAACTTTATGAACAACAGTGTATATATATATATAATATATATATATAGAGAGAGAGAGTGTGAGCCCTCAGCAGCCAGGGGAAAGATGACCATGGTTTTGTCCATGTTGGTGCTTTACTGTGATTTATGCATCCAGGGAAAGGGAAGGTGCACAGGATGAATCGGTTGTAGTGTGTGAACTATGTCTCCCATGCATTATTTCCACATGCTGGATATTTAGTATCCTCTATGTACTCATTCTGTAATTACATAATTTTGAAATGTCCACTGCCCATGTTTTTTTTGTTTTTTTTTACTTGGTTACTGGAGGGAAGCCTGGCCAGAGGGTTTAGGGATGTGATAGGAGGCATCCTCAAGAGACATTTACAAAGACTTAAAAAATGATTTATTTACATAGTGCGATCCAAATTAAGCTTGTAGCAAAAATGTAAAGAAAAAAACTGGGCTTAATGTAATCAGTGGTGTCTCAGTTCCTCTCTCCCCTAAATAAAATGTCACTTGTATTAATCATCATTAGTACAAACAGGACTTTCAATATTCCTCACCATGTGCTGAGAAAGTCTAATATAGACTAATTCTAATCAACATACTTGTAACTCCTATTAGACTGATACAGGATATTTCATTCATTCACCAATTCAACGAACAGCGTGCCTCAACTGTTTTGCATATACTGTATATACACAGTGCTAAATACTGTGTCTTGCTAGTAATGGTTGTTGATGAAACTTTGTGGGACTGTAGACTGAGTGTTTTCAACATCAGCGAGTGAGTTTCAGTTTTTTGCATTCACTGCTAAAACCTACATGTACGTAATTTACATACAATGACAGAAAGAAGAGAGGAGGAGAGAAATGAATATGTTCACTATGTGCACTAACACAGCTGCTTGGACTAGCAGCTAGCATGTTTGATGCATTCTTCTTCAGTTAGCATCAGAAGAATTTGCAATGATTAAAAGAATGATGAAATCAAAGTGACTAAAACACAGTGCAAGCAGGAAGCTGCTCCCTGACAGAACACTACTCAAATATAAATTGTTAAAGAATTTATTCTACCAGGCCTTTAATCAGCCACAACAGAACAGAGCAAATGATGCTATGCTTATTTTAGAGGCCTCCTCCATGATGTCTGTGGTTGCTTTTGAAACTTAATTCACCATTTGATGAATGTTCATCTTAATCAGGGGTAGTAGCTCCATAATGTATTTTTGTTAGACCCTCGCCGCCTGGTAAAATACCTGTTATTCTCCATTCATTTGTGGCATTTTCTTAAAAAATGTACTCACCAAGCACAAGGTGAGATAATCCAGATGACATCATTGGGGTTACACTGTACTACACTACACTGAGAAAGCTCATGCAGATGCACATAATGCATTATAGACCTGTATTCACAAGCTAGGTGCTAATCACTTTAATGGTTTCACTGATTCTGATGTGTAAAATAAATACAATTCCGCTAAACGTCCCATATTAAACACTTTTACAGAGTGTTGGTTGAAGTGTTGATCCATAAGAAGATATATTTGTGGTGTTAAGAACCAAAAACCATCTCAATGTAGTTTTACATCTCCTCTCTCTGGCTTCTCTCTGGAGCTCTAGCAAGAGCATGGCGTTTTGTGTCAGTCTCTGAGCGTTTGTTCTGATTGGCTGACTGTTTTCTTAACAGTGGTCTCTAATATTGCTCTCCTTGGGAAGGCTGTGCAGTGATATATGGGCTTCCTGACATACGAGCGTTCTGCAGCGTTTCCTCAATATTTTGTCGAGTCTGTCTTGTAGCTTGCTAGCTCAGGGATGGAATGGCCGCTTGTGGTTGTGCTGTTAATAAAGTTGGGGGTCATATTCCTGACAGTAATAACAGCTATGGCCTCAGCTCTGCCCCCGAGCACGGCTGAAAGCATAGCTGTTATTACGTCTATAGCTGTGGGCAGCGAATGTATAGTTGTGACATCACAAAGTTCCAGAAGTCCTGACGGCTGGTTTTAAGGCTCAGTTTCTGAATACAGGCTGTGTGCATTTCTCTGTGGACTGAGGCTTTGATACTTTCACAGTATTGATATAGAAGCTAGACCTGATCTATAATCAAAGGAGACATGGAAATTTCCCTTTATACAACCTTTAAATCATTAACAAAATTCCCAGACGATGGACAGAAACTTAGTAAGTAGCAAGTAATCAATGCAACAATCACAATGCTTGTGTTAGTGCTTTGAGAGAAGGATTTTAATTAAAACAAAGAATTAAAAGCATTCATTTTATATTACAGAAAATGCACTAATCAATTAAATGCTGAAAGCTGGAAAATAATAGAGTTCAGCTGTGCTGTGGTGAAAAGCCATCTTAATAGCCCCATAGGATTTTCAATAATGAAATGTGTGAGAGGCAATTAAACCATTTTGCTCCATCTTCTTTGTCACTGTGACTGCAGCAGTCACTATATGCAGACCAGAGCAGAGCATCTGTCCTCCACTGGAGCTCTACCTCTGTCCTCCTCAGGTGACATATATAGACTACGCACCCGGCCCTTTTAACCACTGCGAAGTTTGTAAAAGACAAGGCTGAAATTGATGGTGTGAAACGGTCCAATGCCAAGCCTGAGGACAATTAATCCTGCCTCGCCATTAAAGACGTCTCCTTGATACAATAGAGGATGCCAGGTCCATCTGTGGAGACGAGATGTAGGAGTCATGCATACGCGCAGACAGGGAAAGCTACGGCTCCTAATTCTGCTCATTAATCACCTGTCTGCCGAACATCCTCCAGAGAAAAGCGCTTGGTTCCTGCGAGGTAATTACAGTACTTGAAGGAGCGCTCTCTCCAGCAAATGTTCATAAGTAGCCATCTTATCCCTCTCCTGCCCTTCCCTTTTTTTTTTTTGTCTCAGCCATGGAGCCAATAGCTTCTCTGTCCTCTGGAGAAACTTCCACCTCCTCCTCCTCCTCCTCCTCCTCCTCCTCCTCCATCTCTCCATCCTTTTCTGCCGCACCACTCTTGCTCTTCTTCAGCTTTGTAGTCAGCAGACTCTTTTTCCGGGCACACATCCATTTGGCATCCGATGTGGGATAAATAAATTATAGCCTCTAAAATCGATGCCCAGTCCATGATGTAGGCTGTAGGCTTAGTGCTTGCCACCGTGCTAGAATTATGCCACTGGGGCTCAAACGGGCATTTCTTGAGCCCAGGAGGTATGATATTCTGTTTTTTGGTTTTTTTGGTTTTTTCTCTCCTATTGAAATTTTTTTTTTTACTGGAAAGCCAATTCCCGTCCTTCTGACATTTTATTATTTGTCATACGTTTTTATGGCTAATATTACTTTTACTGCGGAGACTGATGGAGGTTTTGAGGCATAATTTGTCTCAGGAAGCTGTTAGTTTGTCACACAGCATCCTGGTTTGAACCAGTTTTTTCCCCTGGATTCGCTGTAGCGTCTGGAGGCTGTCTTTAATTTCTCTACAGAACCACTCAAAGAATCTAAAAATAAATCAAAAACAGAGGCAAGAGTGACATCTTTGGGCATTTATTTTTAAAGGTAGAATGGTAGCAATGCAGTCACTCAGGCTGTAAACTATGTGCTGATGTTGGAATGAAAGATTTATAACCGTCATAGGATTGATGATGCCTTCTCTCGAAGTTGTCATCGGTTTTAGGGAGTTCGTCACTAGACTTTCACAAAATACATCTTTGAACATGTCCTCAGAGTGGCTCTGGTTTGCTAACGCTCTGTTTCTCTTGCTCTCTGTGTTCCCAGATGGAGATGATACCAGAGCCTGATCCTGACGACGAGGGGACAAAAATAAGTGTAAGTTGAAGTATGCGTCATGTATTCTGGGTCATATGGGCTCCAATCAGGGTCAAAAAAGATTTTGAGCTCAGAAAATTCAAATGTTTGTAGTTGTAAATCAATCTTTGTAAACCTGTGAAATAAATGTGCATCAAGAGAAATTCAGGTTTGTAAAAATTTGTACACTGTGTGAATATCTATGAACGAGTAATATAAAGGTTACAGAAAGACACTGAAAAAATAAATTCTTTTTTTGGCAGAGGTTGATTCACAACTACAAACATTCGGAATTATTTCTGAACATCACTTTACAAGCTCGAAATCTTTTTAAACCAAATTCTGAGCCCAGTGCTCCTCAGCCATGACCCACATTTGCACCACATCATTCCAGGAAAACACAACAGCAGCTGATTTCACCAAATAACATACATTCAACCAGAGAAAGGAGCTAATCAGTGAAATCAGTGGCAGTCTATTATTACTGTCAGAGTGCTTAACTTCCTGCGTTCATGGCCCAGCAACTGATCTGCCCCGTTTTTTCCTGGCTCTCTGTGTGTGTGTGGAGGAGGTTTCAACATTACTGCCCAGTCCTCTTTAGCATCACCTCACTGGAGTCCAGATATAGTCAGACCGCCATATATAGACTCATGTTACTGATCTGAGATCAAGTTGTTGTATGCATTCTTTAGAGATACATTTCAGCTTATCTTTTCTAGGAGTTATGATAATGTTGTACCAGGAATGTGGTACCGTCATTACAATAGAGTTGGAGGTGGCACAAAACATAAACAGTCAGATGATCAGAGACATCGTAACCAAGTCAACAGTCTAAAGCACTTTTTAGTTTAGATGTTAAATGCAAAGATCATGTTAACAGGTCTCTGCAATTAACCTGAGCTGACATGTGTACAGTGTTGTCATGGCTGTCAGGACTTGTGGCCAAAACTACAGTATAAGAATGAGACTTACTGTAGCCTCCCATCTGCCCTGAAGCCGTAGCGCTGCTCAGACGACGTATTGTAACCTCTTGTCTTCTAAAAACAAAGATGGCAAAGATCACCACCACCTGGTCCTGTCAAGAAACCATTTTCCGCAGCAGAAAAATATTTAAACTTATCACCCCCTATAAGATCAGAAGATTGAGTTTGGTCAATTAATTCAATCTTATTGAAATGTATTCATAATTTAAAAACATAAAAGCTCTGACAGATACTAGCAGGATACCATAAAATCTAGTTGGTTTAGTTTGTCAGGTATCAATCCTCAAGTATCTGAATCGAAAAGTTTGCCTATTTCAGAAACTTTGAGGTATCATGTTGTATGTTGGACCCACAATATAAAATTACATTAACTGTGATAGATTTTTACATTATATCCTCAACACTCCTCTCGGTTTTCATGATAATAATGACAGTAAGTGAAAGGTTTTGGCTTCAGTGCCACAATTTAAAAATGTCAACGTCATCTCTGTTTAGGCTAAAATACACAAGTCCGACGTGCTTGTGAATGTGTTAGTATACAAGTCTCACAGCATTAGAATCCTGCAGCATATAGTTGCATTAAGTGTCATGATATGTGATGAAACCTAGTGGTATTATACTGTATAATGCTGTCTGATGTTATGACACTGTGGTCTCTTTTAATTCCTCTAACAGACAGTGAAAGTCCAGGGCAACGACATCTCACACAAGCTGCAGATCTCCAGAGTCAGCAAGAACGACGAGGGACTGTACGAGTGCCGGGTGACACGAGCCAACTACGGAGAGATTGTGGAGTACAAAGCCCAAGCCTGGCTGAAGGTGAACACCACGGCGAGACCACGACGACCACTGCCACCCCCCAAGAAGAGCTCCCCACTGCACCTGACGGACAAGAAACCGAGAAAGTCCAGCTCAGCTCAGGGCCAGGACAGCATGAGTTCAGACCAGAGGGTGGCCTCCACCTCCACCTCTCACACATCCTCCAAACCAGCTAAACACAACCCCGGCTCAGGTAAAGCCCTGTGGGAGGGTTACATAATGCGGGCACTATTGAACACAAAAAAGACTCTTGTATTTTACTTCCAGCATTAAGTTTGGGGCAGACTGATGTAGATCAATGCACCTGCATCACTCAGAATTATGTACACACTCCTGTGATACCTTAAATATGTGGTGGATCTGAACAGCTGAAGAGTCTCTTTGGAGAGAATCTGGTCTCACAGAACTATTAGGACGAAAGCAGGTTTTGCAGAACCAGAGTTCGAGCAGGAAAATGCGATTTGAGAGAAGTAATCGATGAGTCTTTGGTATCGATTAACAAAACTATCAACATCCCTGTGAATCAAAGTATAGCATTAGTTTGCTTCACAAGCTAGCAGGAATGCATCATTGTTTAACGTCTGCCTTTTGGCAAAGCTGATAGCCCCGTCTCACTGTTGACAATCTACCATGCTAAAGACTTCCTGCCAAGATTGCGAGATGGTCTGGTTTTAAGGTGGTGGTACACAGAGTACTGTAAGCTTTTCCTGGTTGCACATTAAAAGGTCATTACAAAGTTGAATCTGACTGAACTTTGGGTACAGTTGAATCAGAACCAGAGCAGCTCAGCATAGTCCCCACAGCAATCCTCCCATCATCTCCACTGTTACTGCAACAACTTGTTGTATTTCAGCTGCTCCTTTAAGTCGGTCGCCAGAGTGGATCAGCATCCACATGTTTAACATACATTTCACCCTTCCTGACGCAGCCTGGGTTCAAGGGGGCCAGGATCAAACTGCCGGCCCACCTGAGCCGTGGCTCCAATGCACTGTCCACAACAAGTATTGTGTTCATGGTTATGCAGTACATGCTCTTGTTCTTGCAGGAGTTGCCGTTGTTCTTTGACTCTGTGGTGGACGCTGGGAGTAAATCTACAGCAGTAGAGTCACTACTGAAGGAGAAAATTGGAAAAGCAGCATGTGGCATTTGCCTAACTGATTCTAACTTTTTGAAGACCATATGTACATGCAGACTAGACTGTTGTATGTGACTATGTATTTTTTTTTGGGGGGGGGGGGGTTGTTATCCAGCTACAGTGTGAGGATCCTTAGTTGAGGGTTTAATTTGAATCAAAATTACTACACCCACCTGAAGTCCTCCAGTTTGCTGAGGTCAAATGTTTGTTGATGTCGCCAGTGCACATGCGTTGTTTTTGTTATTTGCGTCTGTAAAAGTATGTCGGATTTCTGGTTGTTTTGGAAGGAGACAGAGAAGGAAGTGATTTGTTCAGATGTAACAGAGGCCAGCCAGTCATCAACAAGGAGATGCACTTGGTTGAAGCAACAGAGGGCCACAGTGTTTGCAGTTGCGGCATGCACCAGCGATTATGCAGTTCCAAAGGCTTATGGGTGTGCACATCAGTTTGCAGAGCCCAGCAGGAGAACCATGCAGTAGGCATCACTGCTTCGATTACACTGTTCAAGCTTCACTTAGTCCTTTCACAACATGGCTGTGCAGAAGAACTATTCACCATAATAACAATAATTATTATTATTGATTGCCAAATATCCAGGGTGATGCGGTCTTGTTTGCTTTGGCTGAGAATCATAGGCAAAATTAAGATATTGAAGAAGACTTTGGTTTAATTTCATCGAGATGGACTGGAGTCTTTATTCAGGGATCAGCTACAAGTTAAGCGCCTGCCTCCAGCATGCCCAAAATGTTGCTTCAAGGCTCTCAACCAAAATGCTAAGAGATGAGAACACATTTTACTCTATCATGCCTCTCTTCACTGGCTGCCCGTGAGTTTTGAAATTGATTTTTAAGACTTTACTGTTCATGTTTAAGGCACTACATGTTCATCCCCCAGCAGCTACTGAGATCCTCAGGCAGGCCTGCTCTGCTGCATCTCAAACTCACTTTAATAATGTGTTATAATCACATAAAAATGCTATACATACTGGCTTAACGTTATTATTATTTTTAGCGAACTTTAACAAATGTAATTCATGAGATTTACTGTAGTGGATCTGTATCATGGGAGCTCTAGCACATCTTTAACTATCAGTCTATTGTAATACCCAGACTGTTATTACTTTCAGCAGATAACTAAGAATATTAATGTTACCTTTGTCCTTCATCAAACACAGTAACACAGGAACCCTTTCAGAGATGTGTGCAGTGTAATACCTACTGAGTTGTCTTGGCGAGTGCAAACACGCTCAGCCCTTGAAAGAAATGGAAAATGTATGCTCCAACTTGTCGTGGAAAATAAAACCCTTTCGCTGACTTTGAGGTCAGCAAAGTTCCCAGTGATTCAAATTCAGTGAATATCTCCTGTGTTCCTACTGCCCTGATGCTGTGAATGGGGACTAAACAAAGTGGCTCAGACCGAGACACACAACATTATTCCAGCCAATCAGCTTCTGGGGGCGTTCGTCTTCGTGCACAGGATGAGGGAAAGAAGAAGAGAATCTGGTACATTCTCACGGATAGTGCCAATTTAAGGATTACCAGGGGAAGGAGAAGGAGCAGTCTACTCTTTCGACGTTGAATTGAATTGATTGGGACAGTGGCAGCTTGCGTTGCCAAGAAGGAGTGATGGCTGAGGAACAGCCAACAAGGGGAAGGTCAGAAGTTTTATAATCAGGAAAGGCTGAAGTGTTGCATTATCACTTGTGAGGCTTCCCAACAGTGGAGACTGCATGGTCGGACTGGGAAAGAATTTCAGCCATGGACTTATCTGTTGTTGGTCTGCACCCTGAATGACAGGCACACAGAGAGGACCAGCACAGAGACTGACAGGGCGGTAAAATCTTTAAAATCTTTATGGATATTTTGACAGTCCACCAGCAGACTGATGTGGTGGCCCACTTGACACTTGGCAGCCAACGGGGATTTGATGTGGTAGTTGCGATGGCCTCTGTGACTATGGTGGAGAGCCCTCTAAGAGCTGAGAGGCATGAAGAGGGATTCAGAGGTTGCTCAGTTTCTGCTTGACAGGTTGGAAACATCAGCTTTGCCAATAGGTCAGTATTGTTTTGTCCCGTTTACTGTTTGTGATACCTAACCCCAACTGGTTAGTTAACAAGCAGGTACCGGTATCACGTTTGTGTGCCCAGGTGCGTTAAATTACTTACTTACTTGTTGCTAAGATGTGTTGTATGTTGATGTTAGCTTTAGTAGCAGAAGAGGTGTGAGTATCACTGTCTGCAGGCGGTGAGCTGGCTTTGGGAAACTGCCTCGTCTATCATGTTATTTATCCGTACAACATGCAAATGCTTTTACAGCCACAGAGACTTAAAACACAAGATTGTTGGTACAGTGGATTTATATGGTTGGATGCATAATTCAAAATGTTACACCAGGTAACTTTACCTTCTTTGTTAGCTTAGCTACAAACCTACAGTCCTCTCTTCTGTCACAGCAGTTTTGTAAAAACCCTAACCCTAACTAACTCTCTCCAGTTTTTATGGTGCAGATCTGTTTGGTGACGTTTTATATTATAAGGTTTGTTTTGCTTCAGCTATGAGAAAGAGTATCCACTTCCACACCACATATATGATGCTCTGAATTCCACCACTGTGTCATTGCTTTGGCAATACGCGTCCATGAAGTTGAACAAAGCAGTTGGCAGTATCTGGCCTCTCATGAATCTGTAGTTCCGGAGGTGTGTTGTGTTGCGAGTGTAATGTACAGGCTCCGACTGGACAGTTGTTTTCCACCACACACACCAAGAATGTCTGTGATTATGTCATTCTTCTCTTTTTATGTCTCAGTAACTCGTTAGAGCCATGTCATAGAGAATTGAGAAGCCAGACCGTGACAATCACCTTCACTGGCATGGTGGAGTGGTGTAGTAAACAACTCTGTGCTTCTGTTTTCGCTGGAATCAAGAGGATTGTGAGTCGCTCTTGCCTGGGTGTTGCCCGTGCTCTGTCCAAGGACATTTGCATAAAGCTGAGCCTTTCTCAACTTTCCATGTGGTGTAGCTGAGTGCTGTTGGAGTCTGTCAAGCTGAGCGAGAGACACAATGAATAACAGGTGTTTATTTGTGTGTCTGAATGGCCCATAAGAGACAGTTGCATGTGTTAATAACATTATCCGACAGTAACCACAGAAATGTGAACAAATCCAGTGAGACTTTGGATTAGCCACTTACTGAAGTCTGCATTTATGAATGAAATAATATGCAAACAATCTTCAGTCTCAGTTATTAATGATCAGCAGCAGCAACCAAGAGGGAATGTCTAAATGTATTGGTACAAGCTGTCACCAGTTCAGATTATAATAAATCAAGAGATTCATTGCCAGAGTATCACAAGTAAAACAGACTTTATAGAGCATTACAGAAAAAATGAATGGTGACCATTTAATTTACATTATGTAGTAATTATGTGGTAATATGAAGAAATTTCAGAGAAATAACAGTCAAGTCAAATATTGGGTAATTACAGAGTAAAACTGAATCAGAATGAAGAGGGTTGGTCGGGAATTATATTGGAATAGGTTACCATTAATATCTATAGCATGAATACATTGTGAAGACAGGCTGTCAGCAGGTAATACCAAGTCTCATATTTAAAACACCAGCGTGTCAACAAAAGAAACGCAGCAGCCAGTTTCCTCCACATAGCCAACTTTCAGTGTCATGAACCTAATGTATTTCAACAGTCTTACCATTCACGTAAGCCAAGAGCAGTGGTGGCCACTGCAACAGTTGTTTATTAAAAGTGAACAGTAGATGTGACGACTGCTGGAGACGTCACTGTAGTTAACCCATTTCTTCACTTTATACTCCTACTTAATAACTACATAATGAACAGCTTGTAAATTGAAGGGTCACCAGATTAATATATATAATTTATATGAGAGAAAACGTACACTAGACTGACTAAATGTGGACTCGGTTCGGTTCGTCACCACCTCTCAAAACATCCCATTCATTATGTGCATTTTGTGATCTGGCTCCCTCTGGTCCAGTTAACCCAGCCATCTAAATCTCCTCGTTTCAGAAGAGGTAAATAATCATGA